ATATATATATATATATATATATATATATATATATATATATATATATATATATATATATGCATATATATTTAATTATATATACCATATTCTTTTTTATTACTACTCTAAATATAAAGTAACAATAATATAATATTAATATAATAATTTCTCATTCAACAATATAAGTGTAATATAATATATCTGTACTTATATCTGTTTGCTTTCTAGCATATTATACTTGCTTTTCAGTAAGACACATGTAACACAAAGTGATATAAAACAATAAGGTGTTCAATACAGTGCTAACAGTAATGCAACATAACACAAATATGCTTTCACTGCCTATACATCATTACGCTTCAATTGGCTTTCGTTGTTCATTTTTAATAAACGTAGGATTCTTATGTCAAATGCCAATTGTCGTATAACCATAAAAATTAAAGTCACTATAAGAAATTCTACTCACTTTGTATATAATATACGAGCGTATTAGATTATTTTTCACATTTAAACCACATCGCTTGATGTTTAAAAATTTTCATGGAAACTTACACAATTTACATATAAAGAAGAACATCTACAAGCAAACTGAAAGTTCACGTGAAATATTTCACGTTTGGAGAATTCACCTTTAACGTTCGTCTCATTTATTAAATTTACTTATATTATATTATTATATTATATTATAACTATAAATTTAAGTTGTATAATGCTTATTAATGTGTTATATATTACATTATGTATACTGTAATTACATTTTAATTTTAATAATCTATATTGCATAAATATTACTTTCCACATTTTCACTGTTCACTTTTCATGTGAAATAACTTACAGTGAAAAGTGAAAAATGAAAATAAAATTCACGTGAAAGATTCATGATCACTATCTAGCAAAACATGCAATGCATGCTTGATATGATAAATCACGCTTGGTTATCTGGGGGGTAAGTAAAGCGCATTTTCAAATATGTAATTCAAAATCCAAAAATAAGTGGCTTTCAAATAATGCGATTGAGTTTGTTAGAATTATATATAGATTTTAGAAACATGAATACAAACTTAAGGATAAAATATACTTCGCATAAATCTATTTATTATTGATACAAGTGAAAATTTTATATATGAAAAGCTATTTTAACATCAATTCTCTTTCTTTGCATTTATTTAAAACTACATAATTAATTCCACAAAATATAAATGACTGTGAATAACAATAAATTAAACAATTTATATGTAAATCAATTATTATATACTCACTGGCATGTACTGAATATAGGCGCAAAAAATAATTGTTATAAACAAAACATTTGTAAGAGTCAGCTAAGACCGGTTCTACAATACATCGTATGTCGAAGTCGGATGTCGGAACGCAGTCAATGATCTAATAAGAAAAACTTGTCTCGAAAAACAAATCCTCTGGATTGGCCCATCGATTGCATTCCGACGTACGACAGCGACATACAACGTATTGTAGAACAGGCCTAAGGCAAAGAACGAGAAGCGTCGTAGTCGTATACATAAAGTAAGGCAGAGAAAAACGTAAGTCATGAAAGGCTATTAGGGGCGCCGCACACGAACTGACATAACAGTAACGTAAGACGTACCATAAAAATGGACCAATTACAATCGAGTATTCACAAAAATAGCGACTTTACGGTTCGACGATACTTAAAGTGATTGGTCAATTCTTACGGTACGTCTTACGTCCCCACAAAAACGTACGTCGAATTCACGTCGAATCCACGTAGAGTTCACGTGGAATCCACGAAATCACGTGGATTCCACGTGGGTGTAACGTGCATGTTTTTGTGGGGGTTACTGTTATGTCAATTCATGTGCGGCGCTCCTTAAGGCCTTCACACACAACTTGACATAACAATAACGTAAGACGTACCGTAAGAATTGTAAAATACATGTGAGAATTGAAAATATTTTAACATAGTTATATTCACATAGGAGATACCTGAAGTAAAATATAATGCCAGGCTGCTGCGTTCCAAATTGTAAAAATTCTGCAGCAAAAGGCTTTTCTGTTTTACATATCTATAAATTTACTAAATTCAGTTTACGTAATTTATCTCCAATTTTAATTAATTTATCTTTACCGCGCCTTTACCAATAAAATACGATTATTTCATTGGTTCCGCCATATTCTTGCAAAGTCGGCCAGGACCAATCCCGTCGCAAAGATTGCGCATCTTTTACTAGAGGATCTCTATTCAGGATTTGCTTACAGATGTCTATACTAAACTAGATTGCTAACAGGCTATCTAGACTGCGTTCGGCGAGATGCTATTTACCACTATGAGTATGCTCTGTCCTTGTTTGTTCCTGAAAGTTGATCAAAGACAGAGGACGCTCATAGCGCTAAATAGCGTCTCCCCGAACGCAGCCCTAAAAGCATATAATGGCCTCCGTCCGATAGAGAGTACTTTCCAATTGCTTAACATAGAAACCCTTAAAGAGAGACTGGATAAAACTGCCCAATGGAGTTTAAACTGCCCAAAATGGCATCGCAAATACGTGAACTCGTAAGAAGTGCGTGGTCTGTACTTTTTCGCTGCACTGCTGCACTAGTGCAATAAGTAGAGTGAGACGAGTATATTTTTTCTCACTCTAACTTATGTTGGCATTGCAACTTCATGGACAAAAGTCACGTGTACCAATCACGCGGAACCCCGTTATGTCCAGTCTCTACTCAAGAGTTTCTAGCTTAAGGGTCTCACACATGAAATGACATAACTACATGTGCATAGTATAAGACTCTAATGAAGGATTCACACCGCGTCCGATGTTCGACGTACGACGTTCGGTATCCAATAGGAGAACAGCTTCCCAATGAATAATTGAATTCTCTATTAGAAAGCTATTCTCTTATTGGATATCGGACGTCGTATATCGGGCGCGGTGTGAACCCTGCATAAAACGGTCTTAAAATAAGTGATCTATTCTCTTCAACTGCACTGCTACACTGGTGCAATAATTTAAAGTGAAATAAAATATATTATAGCGAATTCGGTAGCTTGCACTAGTGCGCACTGAGTGCGCATTAAGGCTTGTTTACAGTACATTCTTATATTTAAGATCGTGTCTTAAATACATATTTAAAAACATTTTAACTAATAAAATGATTCGTACGGATGTTATACATATCATATTATGGTTAAAAATATTTGAGAATTTATTTGAGAATTATTTAAGACAATCTTTAAATATAATAACATACTATGAACAAGCCTTAGTGCGCACTCAGTGCACACTAGTGCAAGCAACCGAATTCGCTATTAGTTTCACTCTAACTTATTGCACCAGTGCAACAGTGCAGCTGAAAAGAACAGACCTTAGATTCAAATATAAATACCAGCCTATGATCTGAACACATCCAAGTGAAACCAGCGGCACACGGTGCTTGTTTTCGTGCTGGATTGCTTGCTAGATGGAAATACTCTGGATTGGTACATTTTCATTCATCTTCAGAAATGCACCAATCAGAACAGAGTATTTTCATCCAAGCAAATGAGCACAAACGAAAACAAGCATCGTGTGCCACTGGCTTACAACGCCGGCGTAGCCGCACTCTTAGGTTTCTCTCTAATCGTACCTTTTGAAAGTCCTTCAATTTTATGACTTCTGGTTCTACCGTCAAAGCGTGACCGCGCAGTACAGGATCACCAATTTGACACACGTGTTTGTATGGTAACTTGCCCGAATCCATACCCAGCCAATTCTTGAATGTTTCTTTTATTTTTAAAAAGCTTATAAATCGTATATTATTTTTTCTGACTGGAATAACGCGCAAAGTCACAGCAAAATAATTATATACTCGAAACATTGCTCGTATAGTATTTGATTATTATACGTAAGATATACTTTGTAAAGTGAAAGTAAGGTTATTGTACTTTAATAACGACTGTTTTCTAATCTGATTCTGGCATGTGAACCATTGAATAAAGAAAAGGAGAGAGGAAGACCTAACAAGTATTTAAGACGATGGCTATATGCAACATTGCCCCTGAGTATAAAATTGGCGGTAAGAAGAAATGAAATAATGATGGACCTATAGAAGATATTGGTGATAATTGTGATTTGCTGCAACGGTAATTACAACTCATAAAATTTAGCATAATAAAATTAGCAAGATAAGTAATGACTATAAATATTTTGCTTTATTAAAAATATACATGCAATATTAGAGTAATTTAAAAAGTTTAATCGTAAAAAGCTTAGTATTGTTTAATCAAGCACATTTACCTCGATTATTAGAAGTAAAATTTTTAATAATTGTTTAATAATTGTTATCTTAAAACCTTAAAACACTTTTTAATCTCTCTCTCTCTCTCTCTCTCTCTCTCTCTCTCTCTCTCTCTCTCT